ATATTTTTTCCCATTACCGATTGCTGTATTCCATGTGGGTTTTCTTAGTCTTGAGAAAGTCTGTCCATCACAATGGAAATTAAGTTCATTATTGCTTTAGTTGTGCTTTATTGATACTAACCACAGTTGGCCAATAGCCAGCAAATGATCATATTAAATGAAAGGTAGGAGCCAAATGGGAATAAAGGGCTGGTCCATTCATCGGCAGGTAACATTAACACCTACCGAAGAGACACTGTTGACTGCAGTGGGCTAATTACAGAACTACTCGCTTCCAGGGCAAACTACACACACACATATACCGATTTTGGTTCCTTGGGGAAATGAACTTCAAGAGTAGCAACAGAAAAGTTTAAAACACGGAGAAATTGGAGAGTAGTTCTTACACTGGAGTTTCTTTAGAAGAAAACGTGCCTTGCTTTGTACAAAAGAAATACTCCTGAAGAGGTTTATGTTAATTAATGTTTCAATTTGAATAATCACATGAAAGCTATTCCGTTTACAGGTAATGTACTGTGAATTATTCTCTAAAGTTGGGGGGGAAAGAAAGCACTCATCCCATAATTCAATCACTTTGTATAACAAATTAAATTTAGTGGATTTACATTTTATAGTATTTCAATATGATGATTATGTAATATCTATTTTTCCCCATGTCTCTATTAATAAGGACAATTTCAGTTCATTTCTCCCAATTTGTTATTTTAGGCTTTTTTTGTTTTGAAAATCCTCTGGTATCTGATTCTTTGTAAGTTAACAAGGTATGTCGCTCATTGTTTTACTCAATTCCTCCATTCCACTTGCCTCTCAGAAAATACAAATGGAAATAGTAGTTGATATTTATAGCAGAAGCTACATTATAGAAAAAACTAAACCTCTGAAGATGATTTCTTTAACTCTTAGACTATTGGAAGATAATTACCATTAAATAAATAAACCATTTGGTTTTTCGAAACAAAGATTACCTGCATGATATCTTCTAGATCTGAGTTGTCCAATAAATAGCAAATAGCCTCCTATGGCTATTTAAATTTAAGTTAGATAAAATTAAATAAAAGTAAGTAATGCCTTGGTTTCACTAGCCATAATTTCAAATGCTCAATAGCCACATGTGGCTAGGAATAACCATATGGACAGCACAGATACAGAACATTTTCAGCATTACATAGTGCTGTGCTAAAGTATGATACAGAATACAGATGATGATTTAGAATACACACCAAAATAGTTGACCTCTTCATTTTCTTTTTTTTCTGCAGTATGCCCAGTGATTATAATTGTGGTAGCACTCACATGTATTTGTTGAAAATTGAATAAAGTGAGTAAGTAACTGGAAAGCAGTAAGAATGTAGTTTTAGTTATAGAGTATTTATGGAAATTTAAGGTTAAAAATTAGGTCCAGATCCAGAGAGGTTTTATGTAGAAAATATTGTATAACTATATAAAGTTGAGGAAGCAGGAGATTAAGCAAGATACTTTTGAAATAATTTTCAATATTTGCTCCCAAACTTTATCAGCAATAGACAGTCATATTCAAAAATCAATTCATTTCTTTTTCCCAGAGGTAATTATTATAAAGTTGGTTTAAATCATTCCTGTTCATACTTTTATACTTACACTATGCATTTATGTATTAACAACAATTACAGTATAGATTAGTATGCTTGTAAAATATAGATAAATAACCATTATGGTAAAAAAAAATGCACATTCCCTTCTATAATTCACTATTTTTCCATCAATACTGTATTCCATATATTTCCATTTTAATAGTTAACACTGAGTAATTTTTTAATTGCTTTATAGCACACAATTTTATGTTGATGTCATATTTTACTAATGGATTTGTTTATCAATTCTATTGCTGGCATTGAGATCGTTTCCAAAGTTTAGCTAATATAAACAATGCAGCAGTGAACATCCTTGCCCATATGTCCATGGGCACATGTGCACCTCTCCAGGCTAGGGTATAAACCTATAAATGTAATCATTTGCTTAAAAGCTTTGAGTACCTTCAGCTTTACTAGAAGTTGCCAAATTCTTCCCCAAGTATTTTACGATTTACAGTTCCCTCCATAATAATTGCATGTTGTCCTTTCCCAATAATTTATCAACATTGCTATTGTTGAATTAGGTGTAAAATGTTCTTTTTGTGGATTTAATTTGATTTCTCTAATTATCTAGGAGGGTGAGCAACTTGTAGCTTATTTATCGGCCATTCTCTTTTTCTCCTCTATCAGTTGATTATTGTTGATTGCTCATTGGGTATTTTTCTTATTGATTTGCAGGAGTGTTTAATATACACTTGATAATAACCCCTTCTTGATTACATGCATGACAAATCTCATCTCCCAGCTTTTAGCTTATTTTTATATTTTTAATTTTGTATGCAGATTTATTTTATATTTACCTTCCAACAATGTTATCAGGTTTATCAATCTTTACCTTTATGGTTTTTCTTTTACACATTAAAAAAAAAATTCTTTTCTCCCTAAATATATTTTATTCTTTGAATTTAAATATTAATTTGGGAAGAACTGGCATGATATAGTCTTATTCACATATAGGTAAATATGGTATCTCTCTCCATTTACTTGTCTTTCAATAAAATTATATCATTCCTTTAAGATTTTGCATATCTTTTAAACTATTTTGGATTTTTTTCTGCTACTGCTATTTTAAAAACATTTTAACTGGTTGTTATTTATGTTCGTCAACCCTATTGATTTTTGTGTATTGAACTTATGTCCAGTAATCTTGCTGGCTACTCTTATTAATTCCACTAGCTGTTCAGTTAATTCTCCTGAATATTCTATGTACACAGTTCTATTGTATATAAATAATTTATCCCTTTCCAATGATTATTTTATTACATTAGCTAAGAATCCCGTAATATATCCTAGAAGCAACGATAGTGAACATCCTTGTCTGGTTTCTGCCTTTAATTGTAATATTGCTAAGTTTTCACTTTTAAATATGCCATTTCCTATGAGTTTTTAGTAGATATTCCTAGCAGGTTAAGGAAATAACTTCATTTTCTCAACTATATTGGGTGTCATGATCTCAGCAACCTCATAAAATATGCCAAGGAACTTTCTTTTTTTTCTAAGGTACTGATTGTTTCTGGAACTCAATCCCAGGCTATTTTATAAAAGTTTGGAAAACTATATTCAATATCTCTTTCCTTCTCTTTATCTAGATGAACACACCTGTTTCCCTATCTGTAACATCTTCTTTGGTAGTTTCCACCTAGAAATATACTCAAGGAATCATAGGGATCAGGAAAAATTGTAAGAACTTAAAAGAAAGAAGAGAAATGAAAATCAAACTCCTACCTTTTCATTACTCATGTAAGTGTTAAAAAGTAGGACACCATCCCAATCTGTACTGAAGGGGAAAGATGAGTGTTATTTCTGTGCAAACACCCTAACAGACAGTAGGTAAATTAAAGCATATTAGAAAGTTAACAGTCTCCAAGTTTCTATTATTGTTAGTGCTGCCTTTTCGAAGTCAATTTTTTTAAGGACCAGAGACAATACAGCTATTTTTCCACACTAGCGTTGGAATTTGACGGCTCATCGGCTAACGTTACACTGCAGGGAGGGTGCGAGAGGCAGCAGGTGGCAGCAGCCTCCACTCAAACAACGATGGGCATCAGCCCAAGCCTTGAACAGCCAGAGGCTTCTGCTGAGTCCTATTAGGTCTGTAACTGCTATTTTCAAATATGGAAAGAAATGATATATTACATAAATCCCACTAACTTTGACCAAACAAATGGGACATTTTTGTATCTGTTTTATGTAGAGAATGAATAACAAACTCAGGAAATAACCATCTTTTAGATGTTTTGTTATCTTTTATTAAATGACAGTGGATAATAATAATATTAATACATAAACTGATAATACTAGTGACTGTTTATTGAGCACTGACTACATGCAAGGCTCTCTTTCAAAAGTTTTGCATATTTTATCTCATTTAAATCACACAATATCAGTGAAGTAGGTACTATTATTATCCCCATTTTACAGATATCAAAACTAAAGCACAGAATGGTTAATAACTTGCCTAAGATCACACAGCTAATAAGTGGAAAGGGCCAAAGACTAATACAGGCTGTCTGACAGTGGATCCTCTGCTCTTCATCATTACTCAGGGAGGCGTTAATCAGGGATCCTAATCCCTGTCAATAGACAGACAGTAAAATATTTTAATTCCACTAAGAAATAGGTTTCTTCAGGTAAGTTTAAAGTTCATATGCTCCCCAAATGTCTTTGAGAAGTGTATCCACAGGCAGGAATCTGAGACCACGGACAGTTCAGTATGGGAGAGGTTTGGGGATGTAAAGACCAAGGGGACAAATCTCAACTTATTGTTTGTGGAAGCTTAAGTTATGTCACCACCCAGTGCCTAACTTTCCTAACATATTAAATGATGATGATAATACTTAAATGTTATTGAGAAGATTGAAGTAACATAGGATAGTCCCCAGAACATAACAAAGTACATCCTCAATTAATAGTAGTTCATGTCCACCTGCCTCAATAAATAACGGCAGTGCCAACTATGAATTCCCTGGGGCAGGAGGAGCCCAGAAGAATGAATCAGAGGGGCATAAAGGGTTGTACTGATTAACTGAGGAAGAGCATTGCATTATTAATTTTGGTATCTCCCTCAATGAGTATCTCAAATGATAAGGGCCTGACAAATGTTTGTTGTGAAATTGATGACTAAAATAAAGTCACAGAATTGAGTGAATATTTTCAATATGTGAAAAGGTCATCTTTGCAAGGATTTGACATGCATTTTAGAGGGCTGAGGTTAATAAAACATTGATCTTCCTGGGAAATTATTTACAGTCAAATAAGGTTAATGGGACCGCTTCTTCATTTCTCATGTAAAGTTCCTCAGACTGTACTGTGGCACCATTACCTGCACTATGATTTGCTTAGGCTTGCATTTGTTTAACCATTCATCAAATTAACTGATTTCTCTTCTAGACCGAAAACAGATGATGCCTGGGTATTTGCAAAGCCCAATGCCGTTCAGGCTGTCGGTGTGATGTCGTTTGGTGAGTGTATGTATGGTCCCAAAGGTCCTTTCTCACTAGGGAGTCTTCTGTGTTTCATATTTGTGTCTGGAGAGCAGATGTCCTAAGTTTTAGATTTCCTATTCAGAGCATATGATCTGGTTTATGCCAACATAAAATTAGGCCCAAACTTTTCACACTCATCACTAAAATTTGCTTCAGTTTGGACAAGTCTCTTTCTCATGCAGAAAACTCATTAAAGTCATCTTGTTTCTTAACTTGAAAATCTAGCAAGTGTTACGGGCCTCTTCAAAACCTCACACACTAAGTATTACAAGTTGGCTGGGTGTCTAAAGCTACTCTGTTATATCCCAGATCAGAAAGGAAGCCATGGACTTAAAATATGGTGTTGTTTAGATTTCCCCGTAGGAATGGAAAGGCCACTAGGAAATGGAAAATGAGAAAGTTGAATAGGTCTGGTTTATATCCAGAGTGACATAAAAAGAACACGTAAGCCTAATGTGAATGAAATTTCTCATTACTAAAGCTGTTAGAAAGATTATTTTCTGACATATCTAGTAAATGAGTAAATTTGAACTTCAGCTCATTAGCATTCCAAAGCAGCATACATCTCTGAATTTTGGAAGTAAAAAGAAGATCCCAGTGCTTGCTTTAATAATGCCTTTACTTTTTCTTTTTAATCACAGCCTTTATTTGCCACCATAACTCCTTCTTAGTTTATGGTTCTTTGGAAGACCCCACAGTAGCTGAGTGGTCCCGGGTCATCCACGTGTCCATGCTGGCTTCTGTGTTCGTCAGTCTTCTCTTTGCTGCATGTGGCTACTTGACATTTACTGGCTTCACCCAAGGTAAAATGAGAGACTCAGGCTTACTGTGTTTTGGTATTCACTTGGAGTGGTGCTATCGCTTCTAATTTTGGGTAAGATTACACCCAATTTCTACTGCACGGTGTCACTGTCTGATCTCACCCATTCTTTCCTCTACCTTCCTGTCTTTGCAGTGTTTGTTCGTTTCCTAATTTTCTCCTTTTTAAACTGCTAAACTTATTTCTATAGTCCATTCTCTCTCCTTCTATGCTCTCACTTCAAGGCACATGATCTCTGGCTTCCCTGTCTAGTACTCCACTGCAAGTTCACTTTCAAAAACACCAATATTTCACCACTCTTCAAAGCTAACAATCTTTTGGGCTGTGAGCCTCATGAACGCCTCTGAGTCACTTGCCAGTCTGACCATTCTTACTCCCACGAAAGAAAGAGCGCTACCATTCCCTCGGTCACTCTGCTAACACGTTTTTCTTCTCCGAGGGATTCATCCTTGTTCTTCCCACCTCTCTCCCCTTTGCCCCAGCATCTCCCATTGGTGGGCACAGGCAAGAGACTATCCTTTTTGCAACAAATTCTCTGAACATGTCATTATGTTAAACTCTAGTCAAGATCTTTAAGTTGTCTTCAGCCTCTTGCCTGAAGGATATTCCTGTTTAGTTGTCCCATTCTCTCCTTAAATGTAAAACATCATCTTCCCCACAAAACTAGCCCTTTCCTTCCCTCCTCCCTCACCCCACAACCCCCGCACACTTCCTCTTAACCTGTTCACTCGGGCCCAGCCCAGTGCCCGTCTGGCCTGCTTTCTTCAACCCTTGCATCCCTCGTTGCATCCTGTGCTCCTCGGGGTATTCTGACAGCCTGCTGAGTGCCGTGGCTCATATATTTCATGGCTTTTACAGGTCTATTATCTCATTTGACCTTTAAACAACCCTGTGAAGGTAAGTGGAATAACTAGTTTTACCCCCTGCTTAAAACACAAAGAGGTGAGGTAACTTGCCCAAGCTGGCTGGGGACAAAGTAGAAAACAAGTCTCCTGATTTCCAGTCCAATTTTCTCTCCATTCTGTCTTGTTGCCTATCCCTTTTTGGTCAAGTATGACACATCAAGAGCTGTCTCTCAGCCTCCAGCTCCTCTTAGCTTGGTTTTTTCAGATGACACTGAGGTACTCAGGTGAATAATGCATTGTTTCCAATAAAGGTTCCAGCTGACTATGATTATAGGCAGAGATTTCTCAAGAAATAAAGACGTCTTCAAAGAAGTGATTCACATAATCCCAAGGTGATCAAAAGTATAACCTGGGTGTGCCATTAGAGTGCAGCAATGAAATGACATTGAAAGTCTTGATAAAAATTGTGTTTCAAAACACAGCCATGTATCATTATTGCTACACAGTTTGCCAAGATGAATGGCCTACAGGCTCCAGTCTGTACAAAACCATGGTCTTAAATGCCTTCTTGGTAAGACATAAATCGTCTTAGTCACAACTTCCTGGTGTTTTAATCAGTGGTAATTGCTCAGATATAATTAAATCTTCATATAACAAAGCTGACAGGTTGGTTTTGGTTTCTTGGGTTTTTTTTTTTTTTTCCTAGCTATAATAGCCTAAAATGTACTTAGACTCAAGCTGGAAGAAGCTGACATTGTTTCCTCAAGCCATTTCACTTTAGGCATATCTGGTCTTTTGTGCCAACCACTTACTGCTTTTCTCTTCCCTTTTAGAAGATAAAATCCAGCTTGCGAAGCAGTGAGAACTCTAGATTATTCTTGACATTCAGTCAAGAATAGGTGTGGGGCCCATTTTTTAGTGGAGGTTAACAGGACGCTTCAGTCCTCTTTCTCAAGGTGCTGGGACCTTTTTAATCAACCTCGTAGCAGATTCCTACCACTACTGCCGTGTGATGTAACCCCCTTGTGCCTGAAAGAGAGCAATGTATATTTGTTCTGATTGAGAGGGGGAGGGGAGAACAGTCACCTAAAGTATGTCTTGGGAAGAGACAGGACCTTTAGCTTTTTAATTTAAAAAAAAATACAAAAGTATCAGTTCATTTTGATTAAACAGCATAGTAGTCTATGACTTTGATCTAATTTCTATTTTGTCTAAATAAAAAGATGTAACCAAAATTTTAAAATGCAAGCATGGTCTATTTAGGAAATAAACAGGCCCAAATGTTCTTTGTTTTAATAGTGAGAAACTTTTTACTGACTTGACTTATGTGCCCTCATTAGATCCCTGTATTTTTTTCTAAGTGTCTGGGAAAACACAGTCTTTAAATAAGAATTGATTCAAAGTCTATATGGTCCATCATTTAGTTTGGAATTTATTAAATATAAAGGTCTATCTTGGAAATAACCATGTTTTCAGTTTTGAATCAGTGCATTTATACTTGGGTTCATCAGACACCATGAAAAATAATGTGTGTTTGGAATTCCTCACCATGATCCTGAGTTTGTGATTAAACCCTATAGCATGATATACAGGAAATTCAGCTCCCCAGATGTACTGGTCTGCTCTTCCTTGCAGGATTGTCCCTGTTCTAAGAATAACATTTCAAAGGAGATTTGTTTATTTTAACAGCCTTTTTTTTTTTTTTAATAATGAAGTCACTTACTCACCAGAAACAAAGACCAGAAGCATGCTCATAAAACCAGTGGACAAGAATTTAGGGAGTTGATTTCAATGTGAATAAGACAATGGGATAAAAGTATTTTTCAGGAGTTGATACAAATTTAAGGCAAATCTACTGAAAACAAACAATGAAAATATGAGAAAAATTATTAGCGGTGAATTCATCTTCAGGTGTAATGTGCTAGTTTTAATATCAGTCAACAATTACATGGTTATTGAATGCAAAAACTTAAATTTAGACTCAGCAATCTGTTCTACTAATTAAATTAAGCCAAGTTTATGTAGCTTCACTTATATAATAAGCATCTAATATCTCATTTATTAGATACTTATCTCAAATATCCAGTATCTGTTAAATATATCTATTTTATATTATTGTCTAGGAGATTTATTTGAAAATTACTGCAGAAATGATGACCTGGTAACATTTGGAAGATTTTGTTATGGAGTCACTGTCATTTTGACATATCCAATTGAATGTTTTGTAACAAGAGATGTAAGTACAATTCCTTTCTGACACTTTACATAGGTGATCTCTCTACTACATTTAATTTAGGAAGATATGTAAATCATTCAATTCTGCAAATTTCCAAGTGCATAACAATATAAGTTACAAAATTTTCTTTTCCACCAGTTTAAAGATAAATTTATATTCAAATGCTTACAAGATATTTTTCAGAAGTTGGATTTGAAATCATATTTGGTGGTCTAGTTTATATTAGAAGTATAAATATTTACACAACTGCATTCCACAATGAATGCCAGCCTTTAATAGAGTCAAACTAAGTTTTTAAAAAGTATTCTTACCAAGAAATTAAGTACTTCTTAAAATATGTTTTACAAAATTATCTTTTTGCTAAGATATTTTATAAATCAACATGTATTAAAGGCACCGTAGAACAGATTCTGATCAGTTGTTCTTTGTAGAAAACTGAAATATCTTATTTTCTATAGAAAACCAAAATTCAACTTTAACAATGTTTTACAGATAAATTTCATTTATATATTTATATAAACATATTTATTTATATTTATATACTATATAAGATAACATAGATACTATATAATTTGTGTATTTATTTACATTATATATATATATATTTCCCTTATAAAGTCAGCTCCAAGTTATTTTATATAGTCCATCTGGATTTGTGGAGGAAGACTAAGTGAAAGAGAACTAATTCTTGGGTAAAATTGGATAATATGGTTTGTCAGAAATCCTGTATGTACTGTACCACTTGGCAGAAAAACATGATCCTCTTTCACAGTGGTTCTTTCAAGAATCACACTGAGAAGGGCTTACTCTCAGGATCTATTCCTAGAGGCTGTTTACCCAGTGCGCGTGTGAATGGGTCTAATGTGTGAAGTGAAACTCCTGCAGAGCTTGAAATACACCACCTTACAGGCAGGCTTCTAGGGGCAGACCAGGGCTTACCTTATGCCAGTTCTGGGGATCAGGAGCTGCATGGGGAAATGGAAGAAGGAAATGCTCAGCACTGTGTGTATCCTTTACAATTAGCACTTACTCCCCCTTAGAAATGTGTAACTCACAGGCCAGGTCTCCACCCTGAACACAAGGCAGAAAGAAATTGAACTTCACTGTATGAGATTTTTAAAATATAAAACCTTTAAATATTTTGCTAACTATTGCTAGATGCAGGAAATGGGTTTCTTTTTGCTTCAGCCCAGGACTTTAGGTTCAAATCTGATTTCTAGATCAGCAATAACAGATGGTATGTTCGCATGTGGTTTCTGGTGCATGGCTTGCGGACGATCTGAGTCACTCAGCTGCAGAGCTTATGTGTTCAGTAGTTGGAACTTGAGTTTCCTTTCTAGCTGCCCTGACAGGAAGACAGAACTAAAGCAAGATCTCTGCCATGGCAGCAAATACTGGGCAGAGAAACCCCACATATCCCTCATCTATTCACTTCCTTTCTCCTTCCCTCATTCTACACACACACATTGTTAGCATAAATATAATCAAAGCCATTTCTATTCATACGTAAAAGTAGCCAAGTGCATACAAGGGTTCCACAAGCCTATTTATACCCCTAAGAAATATCTCTCCCTACCTTACCCCCCCGATTGTCCACAATTACAGTCATCTTAGCAGCATCTATAAGAGTGAATTTTAATATATAATATTTGGAAAAACATTGCCAACTGTAAAATTATAAATGCATAAAAGTTATTAGTATCTGCATCAAACTATTAGTGAAGTTATGGCTGTATCCAGTTCATAGAGAATGTTACTTGTCTAGGAATGTTACTCATCACGGTTTGGAGAGTTGCTTCATAAGATACCCTGGCGCCTGACCTCTCCGACCATTTCCAGCTTTGGCCTTATGGTTCCTTTGCACAGTCTCCACGCTGTCGGACTGTCTCCCTCTTGTCCTCCATGGATGTCTCTCCTGTTCTTACCTCTTTGTTCTTTTCATGCTGTTTTCTCAATCTGCTGTAAACCCTATCCCTGTTTCAAGCCCCACCTCAAGCCGAGGCTGAACAAGCATGTTTCAGGAACGCTGGCAAGATGATCACTCTAAGGGAGGCAGATCTAGATAGCTAAAGCTCCTTCTACTTCTAAATTCTACTTGCTACTTTTTTTATCCTATTATAAATTAAACACTGTTTCTTTAAATTGGTTGGATCTCTCCAAATAAAATGTTAATTCCTGAGAATACGAATCATCTCAGCAAAGAGAAAAAACATTTTCTCTTTGCCAATAATATCACAGTATGGGACACATTAAATAGGTAACTAGTGATTGATTTCCTAACCTAAGTATCAGTGGAAAATGGTGATCAATTCTTCTCCATTTTTGTTGAGGACAGGCAAGATAAAATACAGTATCAAATAGGGTTTTTGATTATATAAAATTAGTTTCCTATTAATAAGGGATACTACACCTTCATAATTATTAAAGGAAATTGCGGGAACTCCTTCCTTCAAGGTCATTCAAACAATCTAAATAGTATCATAGTTTGTGTTGGTGATAGCCTGTTGGCCTGAAGGAAGAAGGATCAGGTGACTTCCCAAGGTCTCTCTTGCACTTGAGATATCTATTTGTTCACACAGTAGTATGCCATGTTCTGGGCCAGCAATATAATCCACTGCCTAATAAGTCAACCAAGAACACTTGCTATTGATATGTGTGAGTGTCTATGTTTAAGTACTTTGGAAAAGATAGAACATTCATATGGCCAATGATTTGATTGATTGGTTTATCGGTACTATTTTATACTGTCTTAAGTGCTATAATATGATATATTCTCTTCATGCTACATGCCTCTGAGAATCCCTCTCTAAACCATCTGTTTGTTGGGTAGGTAATCGCCAATGTCTTTTTTGGTGGGACACTTTCCTCAGTTTTCCACATTATCATGACAGTGGCCATCATCACTGCAGCCACGCTTGTGTCACTGCTGACTGACTGCCTAGGAATCGTTTTAGAACTCAATGTGAGTAAAAAGATTTATTCCTTCCATTCTAAAAACCCCTTTAAAGTTAATGTTTACCTTTAACGTAAGATGTATTTCCCTTAACAAGGTATCACTTTGGAAGTAGAATGAAAATACGTTTTGTGTATTACAGTAAATATTTATGATGACGATACTGTGTACTTTATAGCACTATCTACTTGCAGAGCAGTGCTTCTCCAATGAGGAATTTTGCCCCAAGGGACATTTAGCAATATCTAGAGACATTTTTCATTGTCACAGCTGGTAAGCGAGTGCTCCTGGCGACTGGTGGGTAGAGGCGGGGGGTGCTGCTAAGCTGCCACAGTGAACAGGACAGCCTGCACCACAAGAAATTATCCAACCCAAAAAGTCAGTCGCGCTGAGGTTGGAACACCCTGGTTTAGAGCATTTTTTTATATATATTTTATTTTTCTATAATACCTACATATCCCTAAAAATAACTACAAATTAAATGGATCTGAAATTTCCTTTGTCAAACAAAAATAAGTTTGGAGAGATGCATTAAGAACATGTGAATGAAGAGAGTTGTAGCCGCACACCAAATTCACTTACCATGGCCCAAGTCTTTTTTCCTTAAAATAAATTTTTTTTTCTCCTTAGACCTTTCCCTTGTAATTTCTACTGCTACCCCAAAATCTCATACATCATATCACATCTGAATTAATACTGGCTTTTTGTTTCAACTAGCACATATTTTAAGTTATGTTTCTAATTTATCATCATCCCGCTTAAAAATCTCAGCTTCCCAACCAGAGTAAGCATAAACTTTGGTGCCTTTAAAATCTGACCCCATGCCTTTTTTGGAAAGTTATTTACCACTTACTGTATCAAATCTACTCTCAGATCTAGTCAAATTTATTTTGGGCCTATCAGCAAGCTATAATATTTCTTTTATCTTATGATTCTTCTTTTCTGTAATTATTATTTTCCTTTCATTTCTGTCCAAATCTTACAAAGATTTGAGGTTTAGTGGCACTTCTACTTCATTTATTTGATCAAATATATACCGAGTAATCGCTAGTACCTCACAACAGAGATACAGTGATGGGAGGAAATCAGAAAGGATCCACACTTTCTTGGAGCTGTTCTCACAAATATAAAAGTTCAGCTGCTACATAAGTGATGAAGAAGAGAAAGGAAAGTAGATGGACTCCCAAAAGACATTTTTGAGAAAAGATTGATGGGATTTGGTGACAGATTCAATTCGAGGATCGTAGATAGAAGAACACATCCAGAATGACTTGTTGGTCATACTTTGTGGAGCTAGGATAGTGATGCAACTTGGAGAGACATGAATGAGACTTACAGGTGGGATGCCACATCATCGTTTACTCACTCCATTGAGGGTGGAGGGATATGAAGGTATTACTGTCAGTGCCTGAGGCACTGTTCTCTCCAGACGCCATTTGGATCTCCAGTTCCAGACAAAGGCAGTGAAACATTCAGGCAGGAACACACTATTGGGGATTTTCATGTAGCAGGTTTATGTGAAAAGCTGGGAGTAGGCAGCTTCTCAAAACCACAGGGGACTGGGGAATCATCTCCCCTACCAGAAACAGAAAGGTGGACAGACACTGAAGGTAATTTTTGCCTACTCCCCAATTTTGCAGAGGCAGAAAAAAAAAAACCAGTAGGTTCACTCAAAATAATTTCACATTCCAAACCTGATTTATGCAAATGGTGACTGTTCCTAAAATGCACTAAGCTGATGATGTATTATCTTGTATCATCTACTGTTCAGACTGTCCGTAACCTTCCCTTCCCTACCAAAGTATAAGTTCTTTGAAGACAAGAATGACATCTAGCTGCCTTCATTGTCCCCAGTTAAGGGCACAGTTTTAAGAACATAGGGCTCGAATTACTGCATGCCCGTGGGAGCACAAGTTCAGGAACTATTTCTACAAATGCTCCTGGACATAAGAGATATTCTTTAGTGTAGCAACAGGAAACTAAGTTGATGTTAACAGTAATAGTAACCCCCCAACTATGCTTAGAAAATTACCAGCATAGTGATTCCAAGCCTCTGTCGTTTCTCGTTTTGTGAATTGTCTCATTTGACTTCACCTGTTGTTTGTTGTTTAATATTGCAGGATGATGATATGAGAGAAAATAGTTTATCAGATCCCTGACCACTCACCATGTCTTGATAGCCTAACAATTTTTTTTGATTCCTTTAAGTTAACCAAGCATACACATATTGCTTAGTTTTCAAGAATGATGTACTTTTGTAAATTTGGCCATGACTTTCTGTTAATTGCTAACCTCCCTCACACTTTCACAACAATATTCTCAGCACATTATCACATTAAACATTCCCTATTGCACTTCTGTTGAAATTTGTCTGGGGTTCAGACAGAATTCTGGTAATGTAATCAGAGAAGGATATTTGGTGAATACCTGTTATAGAGTCAAGACGTGAGCTGGCTGTAGAGGATTATTTTTAAAATTAAAACATGATTCTAGATCCTTAGATTTTTAAAAACCTGGTTGTATAGACATTCATTAAAAAAGAGAAGAAACAGCACAGGAGTGTGCTAAATTGTCTGTTATGATCAAATAGCCCAAGACAATTACACGAGTTTGAAAGCATTTTGTGGAATTAATGAGGTCTAGGATAGCCCTTCTTTTTCAGACCACCTGAGCCTGTTTTTCCAATCGACAAAAGTCCTTTTTGATATTCACAATAACGTATTCACGTCTTTACTCAACTCCTTTTTGTGTGGGCATTTGTCATGTTTAGTAGAGCTAGACTGAGTGTCATTTGTGACAGCAATTAATGCAGGTTGGATCATCTAACTAAAGCATGCTAGGTTCCACTTCAGAATGACAATGTGAGCTAACATGTAATGTGTACTCTGTGCCAGGTATTTGCATGTATTATCTCCTTAACCAGCATTAATTTTACAGATGAAGAAACTGAGGTACAGAGTGATTCAATAGGTCACACTAGCTGTTAAGTGGCAGAATCAAGATTCGAATGCAGGCATTTGGATCCTATAGCCCCTTTGTTAATCATTGTGCTAGTCTGAGGTCCCCTAAGTATAAGAGAGGCAAGCTGCTCTCTGCCTCTGGGCCTCTCTATCCCCACAGCCGTCTCAGTCTGTCCTCAGCGCTGCCACCACTACAGCCTCTGCTCTCTGCTCTCCTGCAGCCTTGCAGCCCTGCCACCGTGTCACCAGAGCACTGGGCAGAGCTCTTTATATAGAGTCAATAACGACGCATTGCCCACACCTGTGTAGTGAGTGAGCCAAAGGAGATCAGTAAAATAAGCAAGTTCATTTCTCCACCATTTTTTAAGTCAAAAATCTATGCATGGAGTTTACCTGTGAGGTTGAGAGTAATCCATAATATATATGGATAGACTTTAATAATGGGTTAAGATAAATACCAGCAAATTAAGATGACATGAAAAGTTTTTCACCTAGATTAATTATCTTTAGCTAATAGCTTTTATCTTAGTTAATAATTGTAGTACTTTAGGAGTTCTTTTCTATGTAGCTTCTGAATCATCACTAAGTAAAATAATGTTTATCACAGATGAGATGTGTAATGAGAGAATTAGACTGTCCATTTGCAAAGTTAGGGAAATGTTTTTACTTGGTACAACTAAAATAATATAGGATAAATTATATGAAGTTAATGTCTTGCCAATGGGTTTCAGCCCTGGACAAGTTCACTATGGATTCAATGAGACCAAAGAAATGACAGTGGAACGTTCTTGGGTTGAAAGCATTTATACCCAACTTTATTTCCACGGTGGCAGGTCAATCACTAGAATCCTGTCCACTCAAAGCGAGTCTGCACTGAGCAAGCTGCTCTGTGCTTCTGGGCCTCTCTGCCTCCACAGGCGTCTCAGTCTCTGTCCTTGGCACTGCCGCCACCCCAGCCTCTGCTCTCCGCTTTCCTGTAGCCTTGCAGCCGTGCCACCATGTCACCCAGAGCACTGGGCAGAGCTCTTTATATACAGTCAATAGTAACACATTGCCCACACATGTGTAGTAAGCTAGCCAACCAGTGCCGGGTGAGAATCCTGGCCACAGGAACCTTCACTTTATCCACACTCTGCCCCTCCAGGATTCTTGCCTCTCAATCTATGTGCCCTTAGTCCTCTGCAGTGGTTCCTGTGCAAGGAAGCTGGAACATTGTAACCAAATTCCATAATCTACGACAATATACAAATAACAAAAAGTACAACAAATTATAACCCTCAAGCCCGAGGAGGTCTATTGCCACCAAGTGGTCACCCTGGCTGTATTCACACCGGTTCTACTCAAAGGAGTTAACCCGAAGGACCACGGGTGGGCCTTGCAATACCCACCTTCTCCAGCCTCTCCAGCAAACAGTCGTGCAGACACACAGGCCGATCTTGTTGCTTTATCTGCCTCTGCTTTGCCCTCAGCTCCCGAAACCGCCGCTTGGGTCCCAATCACAGCCACAGCTCCAGCCATCCAATGTCCTTCCATCTGCACCTGCCTTTTCAGTCCAACCCACACCTGGGTCCTCGCCACCTTCACGGGGCCCTTTAAATTCTCCCTTCGAGAAGCAGACCGCGTCCCTTCTGTGCATGAGCCTGAGGGCAGAAGCAGGGCCTGGAGGGCGCCACACCCGAGGGGGGCTGCCCCTCCCCTGGAGGAACCCGCAGTCCCTGAGTCCTCCTGGCTCTTGGTCGGCTCTCAGCCGGGTGGGGTCGCCACCCAGGAGGGGCCGATGCCTCCGGCACGGGCAGGGCCTCCACCCCCACCTGCTCCTCAGACCTCCGCTCCTCCATTCCGGGGGCGACGGCTGCACTACACCCTCCACCTGCCCTGCGGCCCCTGGCTGCCCGCGGGCTGCTTCCTCTCGGGCCTTTACTATTTCCACAGCCCTTCGTGGTGACGCCACTTCAGTCAGCAGCAAATTTTCTTTCTCTTGGGATGGACCCCAGTCCTCCACCCCTTCCCAATACCACATGTCCACAGGGGGACACTTGAGTGTCTCCCCATCCATACGGGCAGCCGCTGAAACACCGCTTCCAGGAGGGCACCTTTTCCTTGGTCAATAGTGAACCCTGCTGACTGTCACCAATTGTCTTGCCAAAGGGTTTCAGCCCCTGGCAAGTTCATTATGGATTCAATGTGACCAAAGAAATGACAGTGGAATGTTCTTGGGGGGGAAGGGTTATACCCAACTTTATTCCCATGGTGGCAGGTCAGTCACTAGAATTCCATCCACTCAGAGCGAGTCTGCATGCAGAAAGCTGGTCTCTGCCTCTGGGCCCCTCTGCCTGCACAGCTGTCCCTGGGCCCCTCTGTCCCCACAGCCGTGTCAGTCTCTGTCCTCAGCACTGCCACCACTACAGCCTCTGCTCTCTGCTCTCCTGCAGCCTTACAACCATACCACCTTGTTACCCAGAGCACTGGGCAGCGCTCTTCATATAGAGTCAATAATGACGCATTACCCACACATGTGTAGTGAGCTAGCCAACAAGGGCCAGGTGAGAATTCTAGTCACAGGAACCTTCATTTTATCCACAACTAATTACTTAATAACAAGCAAAACCCCATTTAATAAAAAGCAAGAACTTAGGTCCCCTTTTATTTCATTGTTTTGATGCCACTAGACAACAATAACATATTTTTCCAAAGCAAACACACCCTTGATTTTAAAAGATTCATTTTAGAGGCAAACAAAATTAATGTAAGTCCCGTTCCTGGTCATAAGGACCCAGCTGCTCAGCCCTGCTGTTGCTGTTAGAGAAGAAGTGTCTGCAGTAATTGGGCCCTTTGGGTTTCTGCTCACAGTAGTACAAGGAGAAAAGATGAAGCAGCCGGTGCCTGTGGCTGCGGTAACCAGCCCAGCAAGCACTGTGTGCAGCTCACAGTGGAAGGAAGAGACAAGCCAGCAAGAGCCCACATACAGAGGGATACAATCATGAGGGTGAGCATGTGCTGGTCCAAGCTGCCACATCTCCTATGCTAGAGAGAGTTTCCTTTCAAGGTATAGGATTACATGTCGAGTCTAAATTGATTACAAAGTGGAAAACTTTTAAATGTATAATTTACTTTCAGCTGCCTTGCATCATCTGAGAGATTTCTATTCAGGTGGGAGAATTCAGATACTTACCCAATTTATGCTGCCAGTAAAAATCTTCAACACCTTCTGTAATTTCCCTACAGCAAACTGCAAAAGGCACTGACATCAATAGTGTTACTATCAAAGGACACTGTTATCCTGTCTTTAAAAGTAAGGCCATATTTTCTGTCTATTTAAGAAACAGGGTATTTATATCCTGTCAAACAATTTCAAAAATTATTCCAGTGCCAGTGGTGTATTCTCAAGCAAGCCTAGACGAAATAGCTCAGATAAGCCGGACTGATTCAGAGGGAACAGAGTAGGTGGAACTGCTCTATTATTTTAATGATGATCTTGGGTCCCTCTCATAAGAACTGAGCTTTCAAATACTAAGAAAGTAACTGCTATCAGACAAGATACCCAAATGAACTTCAAACATTTGTTACATAGTTTTCCCACTGATTGCTACTTTCTCAACTCTTAAGAATTAGAGCATAAACAGAACACCCATTGCTTTGCACTGCCCAGAAAGTTAGGCTTGGAAGAGTCCCCACACGCTGACTGATGACAACATCTTAGCAGCAGCTGGTGGCAGTTTTCTTTCTGAGAGCCTCTGCCGCTGAGCAGTTCCAGAGGAATTAGCTTCACATGTTTGTTCCGATAAAGAGAAGACTCTTACACTCACACATGTACATATATATATATATGTATTTTAACTAATTTATTATTGTTTTCAAAAATTATTTCCAAGAAATCAAAGGGTAATTATTATAAACACAGTATGAGTTCTACAGTATATTTTATGACTTAAAAAACATTGTCAGTTTCAAGTGTCATGATAGATCCTAAAGTACCCTTAATTCATTTCATTCTAGCCATGCGAAAATGAATCCTTTATACACTCTATCTTTACAGGTATGCATTTGTATTCCAGTGCTGTGAACTGCAAAATTATATTATCCGTATATTTTAAATCAGAATACATTTTGGTACATCTTAGTATTTTTCTCATTCTTGTATCTCCAGTCGTAGAAGTATTTTCCTCAAGTGGGGTCCCTCCTATTCTTGCCTTAGAAGCTGCCTTGCTTTCATGGGTTCCCCTTCATTGCAATTTCTCTGGACTTTTGCTGTTTTTGTAAAAAATAAAATACATATTTTTGGAATTGTAGTTGTAATATTTCTGGTATGAAGATGGCACTTAGTATAAAATAATTTTAGTACATAGTGATATTGAGAAAATAGTTCCTTGAAAACTTTCCTAAAAAAAATTTGTTCTTTTATATCATCCAGGTTTAAAATCAGTTTCCTATGATTTTCTCTGGAGAAAATCTACCAAAATAATGTGTCAAAAAACTTTCAAGCCAGAAGTAACAGATGTATAGGACTTCATCATACTACACTTTCTACTCTTCTGTGTATTTACAGATTTTCATAACTTTTTCAAATGTAGCAAAACATATATTTTTATGGAAAACTTCCTTTTAATTCTAAACCAGAGTCACATTTGCTATTGGCTGTTTTTCAAGAACTTGTGTTTTATGGTTCAAGAGAACATTATCACATGATTATGTTTAATATATTATATCGATATGTTATATTTTGTTTAATAATGAACATTTTATACAATTAGAAAACTATATTGCCAAAAGAGCATTCAATTTTTAACATTTCATTTGAGAAGTTTCTAGTGAAATTTGGCCTCCTCAAAGGGAAAGTCTCTTTCCTTTGAAATCAACACGTCAGTATTTTTATAATTGACAACAGTACTCCCCATAATTTTCTATCTGATGTTCCCCCTCAGGTTGGACTTATCCACCATAAGCTAATGTGGGAGAGGGTGACTGAGTCGTAGTCATTTAGTTCTGCTCTCAATTTTCTGGGGTGATTAATGTGCTTAATGAGTTGCCCATAGGGTTATAATTTTCCTTTCTCATACAGATAGGTGCCTGCTTTCCTACAAACTCAATAATGAGGAAAGGTAATATGACCTGTGAGTCCCAACAGTCCCCTCCTCAACACAAATAACAAATAGACCTCTCGGATTTAAACAGCATAGTAGATATACAATAACTGAAATGAAGAATAGAGGGAAATATGATGTCACTGAAAATATGGGAAATTTCAAGAGTTTGCCAGCAGTCAGTCTCACCATTTGCTTTATTTCTCTATTATGTTTTGATCACTCTTTTATAGTCTGATACCCCATGCATTTACCTCTTCTCATTTGTATATATACCACCAGAAGGGGAAAACCTATCCCTAAGTCTTTCTTGGATTGTTTTTTCTTTCCTTTGTTTGGTTCCACAGAACCGACCATACTTTTAACATGGGCAGTGACAAACACATTTTGTAAAGGTTTTTTTAAAAACTGCCGAAGGAATGGTCCATTCAGTAACCTTATCTGGTCTCTTGCTTTCAATACACAGGGCGCGCTGTGTGCGGCTCCCCTCATATTTATCGTGCCATCAGCGTGCTATCTGAAACTGTCTGAAGAACCGAGGACTCACTCAGATAAGATGATGTCCTGCGTCATGCTTCCCATCGGCGCCATCGTGATGGCGGCTGGATTCGTCATGGCTGTCACCGATCCTCAAGACTGTACCCACGGGCAGGAAATGTTCTACTGCTTTCCTGGCAATGCCTCCGTCACTAACAGCTCAGTTTCTCATTTTCAACTGACAACACAACTTTCAATTTTGAACATCAGTAACTTTGAATGAGTTGCCTGCTTTAAAAACTATGCATGTTTTCATAGACTTCTCTAGTGTATGACATTCACACATGTTTTAGTCTGCATATCATGAAATTATTAGTTTGGCATTTAATTAGACTTGGTTTTCTTTATTCTTTAGTCCAGTATAAAAGATAAAGGGGGAAAAAATTACGTGTGTTTCATTTTAAACTGGGACAAAATACATGTTTCGTTTTAATGATGGCACTGCAGTAATCTTAACTTGCAGAAGGAAAAGTGAAGGCTCTGGCATTTGCTGCCATCCTCTCAAAGCAATATTCTTTTCTCTAATGTCTGAGCTGATATATTGCACTCCAAAATAAGTAAGTGATTGTGGGTTGGAATTTTGCGGATGTGTCCTTTATGAGAAAGAAATGATTTTTCTCAAAGTTTATGGCATCTAAGGGAGGGAGAAGGAAACTCATATTCCAGGAGCAAAGTGAAGGTTTTATGTAATTATAATTTTAGCCACATCCCTTGTTTAGAGGGTAGTGAACCCCTGGAGAAATAAGTAAAATCCTTCTCATGTTAAGAAGGTGAATAATAGGATCTACAGAGCAAGGTGGGTGAGGAACCGAAACTACCTCTCAAGTTTTGATCCTATGGGAATATGACAGTAGTGCTATTAAATGAATTATAAAGCAGGGAAAGCCGCAAGCTGTTCTGAGGCACAAGCCCAGGAGATCGGTTATGTAGCAGCTTTGGACCTGTTGAATTGAACCTACTGGTAGGACGATGCCCTGGAAACTGAACCTTCAGATTAGACGCTTGCAAGAGAATCAGGGGTACAGACAAGGCATTCTAACTCCTCCGGGGCTCCACAGATACATACTTAGGAGCTCTGTTGACAGGATTAACCAGAAGCAGACACTCAGGTGGAGTTTGGTATGCAGAGTATTTATTAGGGATCATAACTAATGGGACTAGGGGGAAAGGAAGATGGGGAGGGTGAACTGGAACAGGCCCACGAAGCCTCCGCGAGGTCCACAGGGTGTCTGGAGCATACATGGTCCATGTGACTTGTCCCTGCTGAGGTGAAATAGCCAAGTTCTGATACCATTGCCTCCACCAGTTCTTGAATGTGGGCACCTGTAGAGGATATGCCCCTGGGAGAAGCAGCCCTCTGCAGCTGAGAAAACCCTAAAGGAACTCAGTTTTTTATGAGTTTTTATATGTTTTGCTGAGGATTTCATGTCTTCCTATCTATGGCAACCTTTCAAAAGTAGCAAGAAAATTTGGGACCCTCTGGGCGGCTATCTTATATCAAGGATCACCCAGGATTTGATTTCTCACCTTTTCAATTGTATTTCAATCAAGCTGACAATCCACAGTACTCTATTAACTGTTGCCAAATAGGAAATATCATAAGCAGAGTTAATATCCACATGATGTGTTTGTACAAATCCCAGTCCAAAAAAGAAAAAAAGAAATCGCACAAAAATGTGTATAAAGGATCATTTCACTGTAGCTGGAGTGAAAAAGTGGTGAGAGCTGAGTCATCGTGTGACTCAGAGTGAGAAAGGCCTATTGAAAGTGTAGGAAGCTGCACCTTACCAGGCAGAACCGGGCTCAGACATCGGGTGCTGATTTCTGCTTCAATAAAGCTGCATCGTGCCACTAAATTCATTTAAATTCTGCTGGCTGCATAAATTTTCAGTATTTAATTTACAGATTTGTTTTCTGTAACTGAGAATCACAAGGTTAAATGGTTTGTGCCTGTTTTTAGACTGATGCATGTTCTAATAAAATAATAATTAAAATGCTTGCATTCTGCACTGAGGGAATGTAAGGAAATTTTGCAGCAGCCCATCCCTACATTACTCAAGACTGAAAAACACTGACCTACATAGTTATTAGATAAAGTCATGAAAGATGAGATTTCCAAGAGTGTACAAAGAGAAATGCGTCAAGGATAATGTAATTCAGCACGCAGCCCTCTATTATCTTGTACTTTGGGTATTGCTTCAGATAGGTGGACCTTGGCTTTCAAGAAGGTAAAAAACTTCTGGTCAGAACTGAGTTTTGCATTAATGCCTAATAAATATTTGTTATCCTCCCAACCCCCATCAACTGTAGAATAAGACTGCCTTTGACCCAGTTATTAGCTGCGTGAATTTTCAACGTCTTTCAAATTATGACAGAATAAATCTTAGAAATTCACATGTTTTGCAAGAATACTTGTCTTTTTATTTTGTCGCCACACAGAACTTCTAGACGCAGCTCCCATCTATTTTTTGCCTCAATTTAATAAGAGATTTCACCTGAAATTCACTGCCTCCCAGCTACTTCTTGGCCCTAGCAAAGCAAGAAGATTTTAAGCTAGTTTTTGAAGTTACTACTACATTTGAACTTATAAAGCGCTTCTTCACTTAAAAGGGGAGGGGAGGGAACAGTATGTTTACACACTAATGCGAACATCTAACAATATGTTTCCTGTAAGGGTATAGACTGGATGGCATCTGCATAATTTATGGATTGGGTTCTTGTCCAGGTCACTTATAATAGGATCTTTAATCTCAACCCTACCTTGAGCCACCTTCAAATGCCAGAACAAGTAGATGTCTTACCTCTGACTGTTTCCAATGGTGTCAAGAAAGAACTGTGGCATCTTGTCTTTCTGAGAAGGACTCTGAAATCCAGGTTATCCAGCTAAGAAAATCCTGACTACTCCTCTGCTAGAGTCATACCGTACACACCTACTTAAAGGTTAATTTATTGGGCAGGAGCAGGCCTCCTTCTGGTTTATCTGCTATAACCTTCTAGGAAAGCAGTGCTGGTCTGATTTTGGTAGAGCTGGCCCGACAGGACCTGATGGTGTCAGGTATTCCAAAAGTGGCTCAAGCATGGACCAGCTGGTGACCATGAGGTAGGGGACCTATAAATGTTTTACTGACTGTGGTGAGGGTAATCAGATAAGTGCCTATAAGAATTTATAATTATTGTAAGAAGCGTGTAAAGGATTCTCCCAGGCAGAGCAAACATGCCAAGTGGACAAGACACCATGAGCCACAGTACACATAGTCTGTGAGAGAAAGGAAAGAGCACATAATCTCTAGCAGAGGTTCTCAGACTTCACCGTGGGTCAGCATTACCTGGAGAGCTTGCCAAAGCACAGGTTGCTGGGCACCCTTACAGTTTCCGGTTCAGTAGCCTGGGGTGAAGCCCAAGAATTTGCATTTCTGAAAGGTTCCCAGGTAGCTGCCACTAGTTCAAAGATCACATTTGGGTAAGGTTGGAAGATGGACATGAGAGATGCTAGATGGGGCCGTCTGTTTACAGGCTGGGCAAAATACACGCAAAATGTAGCAATGTCACGCTGGGGCTCAGGGGAGAAGCTCGAGGGAGAGAAAGGGGAGGGAGAGCTACCGGCACACGCTAAATGTACTCATCCTTTGTCTCTTTGAAAAATCATTTGGAGACGCTTACCGCGGGGAGTGGAGAAACCAAGACAGTGACACTAGTGAAGAGTAATGACGGGAGGGGAACAAGTTAACAGCAAAGGAGGAAACGAGATTACAGTCTAAAGTCAACACAGCTGCAGCGGTGAAACTGAAAGCGTGGTCTGGAGCCTCCAGTCATTCACGGAAGACAGCCTGAGCTTATTACGAGGAGGAAGGAGTAGACCAGTTCCTAAGGGTGCCCCAGATTTTCCTAGGACTAAACTCGGGGTGGAATGTCTTGGAAAATTATATAAAGAACATGAGTAAAACTGGCTTATGCTCATAACATCATGCAGATAAAGGATTCATGTAGTTGTCTTTTATAGGACACTTTGATAGTCATTTCACTATGGAAGAATATATTCATAAATGATTTATCTGATAAGGACTTAACATCCAAACTATATAAAGAACACATATACCTCAACACCAAAAACACAAATAACCTGATTAAAAGATGGGCAGAAAACCTGAACAGACATTTCTCCAAAGAAGAAATACAGATGGCCAACAGGCACATGAAAAGATGCTCCACGTTGCTAATCATCAGGGAAACGCAAACCAAAACCACAATGAGAAACCGCCTCACACCTGTCAGAATGGCCACTACCCAAAAGACAAGAAATAACAGGTGTTGGCGAGAATGTGGAGAAAAGGGAGCTTCCTACCCTGTTGATGGGAATATAAATTGGTGCAGCCACTGTGGAAAGCAGTAAGGAGGTTCCTCAAAATAAAAAAACAACCAGAAGTACCATACAGCCCAGTAATACCATGTCTAGGAATTTATCTGAAGAAAATAAAGTCCCTGATTCAAAAAGATAGATGTACCCCTATGTTTATTGCAGCATTCTTTATCACAGCCAAGATACAGAAGCAACCTAAGTGTCCATCAATA